TAAGACGATAACCGTTGGTCTTTACAACTATATTGTAAGCTTACACAGCAATTTGGAATGACTTACCCTCTTGAGCTATGTATTTTTGGGAAGAGCTATCTGGTGGCACAATTCTTTAGAACAGAAGTATGTCCTTTTATGTATCCATGAGCACAGGAGTTTATATATTGGGATTGGCTTTCCAACTGTGGACCCAGAGGTAATGACATTTATTAAATGCTACAAGGAGAGGGCTTGAAGCATTTTATGAAGGGGAAAATTAACTTTGCTTGTTGTCTAATGTGACTGGGAAAGGATAAGGTTCTTTTCATTTGAACTCTTTCTTTTCCAACTCCATTTGCTCTTTGTGGGAATATATTTATTTTTCTCTACATGTGTGGTCACAGCTCACTGACTCATAGCAATACTTGTCATACTTTTGTGTATCTTTGGGTTCTTTATGTAGCAATTCAGTATATTTTCTGGAGCATTGATACACAATCACTCTGGAAACTTCTATTTTGTTTCCTAAGGAGGTTTCTAGTGAGCTTGTTTATGTGCGCTGTGGCTTTTCCACCAGTTGACCTGTGCAGTTACCATCTGCTTTGTAGGATGTGTGTGGCTTCTCTTTTCTGTTATTTTGGGGGCAGCGTGAGCACCCGCCTCTCTCCCTCATGGCCTTAGGGCTTGTTTAGGGTAGAAGCTATTGCTCTTCTTGGTTTGATGTTTTTCATTAACCTCGTTTTCTCAGACTGATGATGAACTTGATCTTTCCCAGCCTGACCAGGAAGTCGTCACTGTACCAGATCTGGGGAGTCTGTCTTCACCTCTAATGGACACAGAGAGGAATCTGGGCCTGCTGCTCGGATTGCATGCTTCCTACTTGGCTATGAGCACACCGCTATCTCCGGTGGAGGTTGAATGTGCCAGTAAGAAAAATTGTGTTTTCTGCTAGCAGATGAGCACATCCTTCCCCGACCCTCTGAACAGTGGGGTCCTGCTGCTGCACGCTCTAGCCCTGTGGTTCTTTGTAGCACACAGGTACCCAGCTGAACCTGAGTCATTACTTGGGTATGTGGCACCTCATGCTGCCCTCCTATTAGAAGGCGAAGCCCAAGTTCACACGGTACCCACACCAGCACAGGGACCTGTAGTGCCAGACGGCCCCGCGCCGGCACAGGTGTCCAGTAAATGTGTGCTGGCACTCTCACCCGGAGTCCTGACACCGTGCTTAAGGTGGTTGAATAGACAAAGTGATACACGCACACCTCAGAAGCCCTGCGGGTCCCGGTCCAGACCAGCACAACACAGCGACTGCCGTGATGAAGGGGGCCCCACAGATGCTTTGGTCTCCCAGTGCATAGAAACTATGTGTGCATTATCCTGTAGTCTGTTAGGTGTGCCATGGCATTCTAAGAAAGTGTACATGCCTTACCTAAAGATGCTTTGTTGCTAAAGATGCTAAGCATCATGTGAGCCTTCAGCAAGTCCTAATCTTTGCTTGTGTGTGTGGGGGGTGGGTCTTGCCTCAATGTTGATGAAAATGCTTGACCCACGAAACCTAGTAATGGAGAGCTCAGTGAAGCGAGTGGGAATTATAAGCCAACCTGTGTAACTGTTAGGTGTGACTCTTATGATAGGGATGCTGAGTTTCATCTCCTAAATCAATCAAGTATTCAATTCTTTTTCTTTGTTGTTGATTTCTGGATAGTGCACTCAAGGTTTTTTACTATTTGCACTTTCTAGAGTGGCTACAGTCGTCCATCTTCTCTGGAGGCCTGCAGACCAGCCAGATCCACTACAGCTATAACGAGGAGAAGGACGAAGACCACTGCAGCTCTCCTGGGGGCACGCCTGCCAGCAAGTCCCGTCTCTGCCCCCACAGGCGTGCCCTGGGCGACCACTCCCAGGCCTTCCTGCAGGCCCTCGCTGACAATGACACCCAGGACCACACCGTGAAGGTGAGCAAGGCCGTCCCACACGCAGTGTCCTGTTTAGGATGACAGGTGGGCACCACCGTGCCCCGTGACTAGCTTAGCACAGCCTTTGTGTACATGTTATTTGGAGGGCTATGCTGAGATGCCAGCAAGGTCTGTAGAGTGCGCTGACTGCAAGTGTGTCGGAAGATGTGGCATGAGCTTCGAGCTCACGGCGACACACTAGGGTGGCTCTGTAGTGACCTCCAGCTGTTTCTGTTACAGGACTTCCTGTGTCAGATAGAAAGGTACTGTAAGCAGTGCCACCTGACCACACCCATCACGTTTCCTGCTGAGCACCCTGTGGAAGAGGTGGGCCGCCTGCTGTTCTGCTGCCTCTTAAAGCATGAAGACCTAGGTATGGCGCTTGGAGCTCTAGCAACTGCAGACATTTGGCTGATACCAGTAACACTCATTCGAACCCTGTCCCTTCGTTGAATATCTTTCCAGGTCATGTGGCACTGTCTTTAGTCCACGCCAGTGCACTGGGTATTGAGCACGTGAAGCACAGAGCGTTGCCTAAGTCTGTGGTGGATGTTTGTAGAGTGGTCTACCAAGCGAAATGCTCACTCATTAAAGTAAGTAGACTTGGACTCACCTTTGTCGTGCTTTGCAGACAGTTGGTAAAATGTTTGTTGACGTCTTTTCATGTTTGACTTTGTAGACACACCAAGAACAGGGCCGTTCCTACAAGGAGGTCTGTGCTCCAGTCATCGAACGTTTGCGATTCCTCTTTAATGAGCTGAGACCAGCAGTTTGTAATGACCTCTCTATCATGTCCAAATTTAAACTGTTAAATTCTTTGCCCCGTTGGAGGAGGATAGCTCAGAAGATAATTCGAGAACGAAGGAAAAAGAGAGGTAAGAATGGAAAGGCAGGAACACGCACTGTCCCAGTGTGGGCTCTCTGTGTACCTGAGTCTGTGCCTTGTCTGCTGTCACACATAACACGTGGCATCCTCAGCAGCCATAACACTCCCTGTGTATGCTCGTGATTCAATGCCCAAGTCCCACTTAGCTTTCCATGACATGGGGTCATGGTGCCCCTTTGGGACTGTGTGTGTTGTGATTTGGTAACTAGTAAGTGGATGCTGCAAAAGATAACTACGATAAACTTTATTGTATTGATGGGGAAAAGGAGGTGTTCTTTATTACCTGTTCAGAATGTTGGGTCTTTCAGTTAGTCTTGCCATTCTTATAGCGACATGAGCATCCTGACACATGGAGAATAGTTATAAAGGAATTAGAAGATTAATAATATTTTCAGGAAGCAACTGTGAAGGGATATGGAAAAGACTTTTAGCATCAAATAACCAAAATTTGAGTAAAATTACATAAAATTCTATAGAATTCAGTCACTTGTAATTATAAACAATTCTATAGAAATTTCTGATTATATTTTTATTAATTATACTGGTTTATACATAGACCAGCTTATTAAACAATGTTAATTCCTGAGGTTTTGATGGTTATTATAACAGTGTTATATGAGAGACAGACTTGTTTTAGAAACCTCCTTAGAAACCTGACTTGATTGTTCCTGAGCAAGGCCTTAAACCACATCAGCTCGTCTGAGTCCTGAAGATGCTCTGGGCCAGGAAGTCACGGCAAAAACGCTTTTGAGCCCCTTTAATCCAGGCAGCCAGGAGGCTTGGANGTCCCAAGCCAGTTCTTAACCATCGCGCCACTTGGCCGGCCCTCTTCTTTCTTTTTGATAATAGCCATCCTAATGGGATGAAGTGGTATAACATTATAGTTTGATTTTGTTTCCCCTAATGATTAGTAGGGATGTGCATCTGTTCATATGCTTTGGCCATTTGCATATCTTCGGAGAAATGTCTATGCAAGTCCTTTTCCTATTTTTGAATCAGGTTTTTTTTGTTCTTGTTCAGTTGTAGGAGTTTGTTATATATTCTGGATATACATGATTTTCTGCCATTCTGTGAGAGTGTCCTTTGATGATTTATTTTTCTTTTTTTAAAAATTTTATTTGGGAATTGGGGGAGGGAACAGTGTTGGGGAATCAGGGAACGGGAACAGACAAGTTGCTGTCCTTTTATTCTTCAGTCTAGTTGTGGAGGATGTCGCTTCACTGGCCCAAGTTGGTATTGTGATCACTGCGCTCTTCCTGGCTGAGGCAGATCGGTTGCTGGCCGTTGGACAGCCACTCTTGGCGGCTCACAGAAGCTCAAAGCAGCTGCTGGCTACTCACGGTAGCTTATGGCAGCCCACTGCAGCCTATGCAGTTGCCGGCGACTCACGGCAGCCCAGCTTTAGGTTGATCTGTTGTTCACCATCTTAGCTGTAGAGGGCAAAGCGTCACTGGCCCATGTGGGTTCTGAACCGGAGGCCCTGCTGCTCAGAGCTCGCATTCCCAAGCCAACTCTTAACCAACGAGCCACTCAGCCGGTCCTTGATGATTAATTTTGATGAAGTCCAGCTTATCAGTTTTTTCTTTTGTTACCTGTGCTTTTGGCACCTTGTCCAAGAAATCTTTGCCAAATCCAATGTCATGAAGCTTTTCTCCTGTGTTTTCTTCTAAGTTTTATAGTTTTAGCTCTTACCTTTAGATGTTTGGTGGCCTTTAGATGTTTGATCTGTTTTGAGTTAATTTTTGTATAGTAGTTGTGCATGTTGCAATTGATTGATATATGCTTCTGGTCTCTTTTTCCCCTGACATCCTATCTTTAGGCCCTCCTGTTCCTCTCTTTAGTCTTACTGTTTATATTTCAAAGAAGCCTGTCATGTGTTCTGGAGAATTTCACTTTTTTTTTTAACTTGGCCGATTGCATTTTCTTCTATTCTAATGTCTTATATCAGTTACTTCCTCTCTAAACAGCTGGCTATTGGTGTTGGCTTGATGACTTTTGGATTCAGTGTTGGTGGGCCAGCTTCCTGTTTCATGGGCTTGGAGGCCTGTGGCCTGGGTGGCCCCACCCTCAGTTCTGTTTTGTTAGACTGAAGAGTTCATGCATAGTCTGTCCTCTGGAAACCTGCCAGCAACCTGGCCATTGGCTGCTGGTTAGCACAAGGTACAGTTTGCACAGCAAGGACATGGTCCTAACTTGATTGTCCTCTAGCCTCCCTTTAACCATCTTTCATGATATTGAGTTGGTGTCCTAGCGCCTCCGAAAGTCCCCAGTGAGGTTTTTTTGAGTATCATTATGAACTCATAGAATTTTATTGATTTGATGTTTATTAACATTTAGTTTTAGTGTTTCTTTTTTCCTAATATATACTTTTAAAGGACTAGATGCCCTCAAACATACATTTAGCTGTATGTCACGAGTAATGGTCTCTAGTATTTTCATTATTCATTTCAACGCGTTTTCTAATTTTCATAGTCATTTTTTACTGGGAATCTTGAGTGACTTAAACATATATTTCACAACTTTAAATATGTAGAGGATTTTTATTTTTGTTACCTATTTTTAATTTAATTGCATTGTGGTCAGCGCACATGCTCTGAAACTTCATTTCTTTGACATTTTTGAGATTTACTGTGTTGCCTGGTATATGGTCTGATTTGCTGTTCATGCTGCTCACGTGGTGTTTTTGTTTTCGGTTTTTAAATCATTCTGTATCCTTGCTGAATTTTTGTTTGTGGTGTTAGTTATAGCAAAAGGTACGCTAATCTCCCATTGTGATTGTAGATCTCTTTCTCCTTGTAGTTCTTTCACACAGTTTGTTCTAGTCATTCTGTCTATTGACCTATTGATTTACTGATTATGGTTTCTGTGTATACAGAGTCATTTTTTACAGGTCAGAACTGTAGAAATAATGAGGAGGTAACACTTATACGCAAAGCTGATTTGGAGAACCACAACAAAGATGGGGGCTTCTGGACCGTGATTGACGGGAAAGTGTATGATATAAAGGATTTCCAGACCCAGTCCTTAACAGGAAATAGTATTCTTGGTAAGGCTTTGCTTTCTACCTCATGGTTAAAAGTTGCAGCAGGTATCTTTTTTTTTTTTTTTAAGATTTTATTGGGGAATTGGAGAGGGGAACAGCGCTGAGGAATCAGGGAAGGGGAACAGACAAGTTGCTGTCCTTTTGTTCTTCAGTCTAGTTGTGGAGGATGTTGCTTCACTGGCGCGTGTTGGTATTGTGATCATTGCGCTCTTCCTGGGTGAGGCAGTCAATCGCTGGCCATTGGACAACTGCTCACGGCGGCTCATGGCAGCTGCTGGCCGCTCACACTGGCAGCATTTGGCTTTGAAATGATTAATTTATTACTGCTCCAGTCCCCACACATTTTAATCTACCTGTGACTTTGGTGTTTGTCCTATCATAGATTGAGGCACATTTGAAGAATTTCTCATTATTATGCATTTTTGTCCCAACACTTGTTGGAACTTGTTCCAAGTTGTGAGTTGGCCCAGGCAGCCCTGGGCATGAGTGGGAGATCATTATGCTTGGTGACCCTCACTTGGGAGTTAACGTGCCTAATCTGCTTCCCCTGGGCACCCGGTCTGGAAGTCACGTACCTTTGTTTCTTTCACTGCAGCTCAGTTTGCAGGGGAAGACCCTGTGGTAGCTTTGGAAGCTGCTCTGCAGTTCGAGGACACACGAGAGTCCATGCATGCCTTCTGTGTTGGCCAGTACTTGGAGGTGAGGTTGTGTGCAGGGCTATAGTGGGCGCCACAGGCTTTTACCCCAGAGGATGGGGAGCTGGGTCTTCTGTGGGGTGGGTTGGGATGGGGTGTCACTATG